GAAGTATATATAGCAACCTATAGTAGTTCGTTTAAAGCGAATTTTTTAACTGGATCTGGTATGTTAAAAAAATTATTGCTGATACTTTGGCTGATTGACAAAATAATTCAACTGTTTTAAACTGTCAGAATAAACTAGATATTTAACTTTTTTGTGTCACTAAAAGTGATTAAAAAATTTCCATAACTTTGTTTAGATCAGATTTCATTGAGTTTAGTGTCATTGAGCCATCTCATAGAGCTTTTTCTAATTATATATAAATTGCTACAAAAAAGGGTTGTCAGGCAAAGTATTATCGTATTACTTATTTGCTGAAATAATGCCCCTCTCTCAAATAATTACCCCCGCCCTATTAATTAACCCCTACTGCCAGGGATCGAAAAAATAATTACCCGTCTTAAAATAGTTATAATTAGCTTGTTTAAAAAACTCAAATAAGTACCCAGGGTAATTATTTTAGCAAATACGGTATTTAAATAATTTTTAAAATTTATTTTAAATATTTTTTATCGTCTTAGATAATTTTAAAAAATTATTGAAATTTATTTATAGGAAAAAGTAAAATAACAATTGAGGATTATGACAAGGTTCTGACTGATATTGGATTTGTTCCTAAGCTGAAATTTCCACCTGCTTCAGTTAAATTTGTTGAAAAATGAAAATGCTGGTTGGAAAATTATAAATTGAATTACTTCCTAATTGTATTCCATATATTTTTAAATTACACAAATAACGAATGCCTTTTATGTAAATATTCCTTTGCTTTATTTTTTTATTAGCTGATAAATTTTGTAAAGTTCGTTATAATTTTTAAATTTATGTTATTTATATTTTAATTTTAAATGGTAAATTCATAAATTATAAAATTGAAAATTCTATAAATTTGATCTTAATTGAGACTTGATTTGAGACAAAAAGTGTTGTGGAAAAATTACGGCATATATCCTGTAATCCGATTGGACAAAGAATGGCTCTTGTCCAGTATATGCGTCCATCGCACCTTTTATACGTCGAATGTAAAGTTTATATGTCCAAACAAATCAAATGAAAGCTCATTCAAAAGGACTTAATGAGTTGAGTCGAATGGTATCAAAATCAACGTGATTGAACAATTAGGTCCTTCTACTATCAATGGTTGCTGGTTTTGTAAGCTGTACCGGCTTTTATGATTGAACTTTCAACGAAAATTCATTTGATTGTAACTTTGTCCAGAATCAATAAAACTATCTAATTTTGGTGTCATTCGATACGACTCGGCGAGCAACTTCAAAATAACATAGTGTTTGTCCTAATCGGATTCTGAAACATGAACTGAATTTCACCAGTAACAAGAATTTATCCTTATTATCCACGGTTTTTGAAATAAAATAGAATTTTATAATTGAACCTAGCGAAAGTTTTATTTAAATCTACGTCCAAAATAACCCTGCGCCATAAAAGTTGGGGTAATGAGATGAGATGTTGGTCTATCCATTATTTTAAAGAGAAAAAGACCAATTTATTATTGACTAGGAAAGGTTTGGGAACGGCTGTTGGAGGGGGGGGGGCAAGATGCGTCGTTTTCCGTTACTAGTATATGTTGTGGTCGAGGGTCATTAGGAGAGAAAAGAAAGTCATAAGAGAAAATCTTTATTTATTTTCATCATTATAGTAAAGAGATAAGCAAAAGTTTAGCCAATGTGAATAGATTTTAGATTTAATGACCTCGAAGAAATGTTTTCGCACAGCTTTGCTAAATATTATTTAAAAAACATCTCCCATGTTTGTTCTACAAAGTCTATTTCTATTATTTTTATTTTATATTTAATAATTAGGGATATGTATTACAATTAGTGTTGCCGTTTTCGAGTCGGGCAGACGTTCAAGTAATTTTTTTCGGGCCGGTCCGACCGAGTTCATTTTCGGGCCAAAATGCGATGCCGACTCAATCTTTCGGAACGGACAGGATCGGGCCGGCAACCCTAATTACAATAGTACATTTAAAACTATCACTCAATAATTCAACAGGTAAGACAAGAAATACTGAGAGGGGGGGGATCGAGGGGTTTTTCGATTTTCAAATTTTTTAAAAATTTGAAACATGCTCTCCAAACATGCTCTCCAGCAACATGCTCTCCATTACCTGCAAATTCTTTTACCTTGTTTTCGATTTACGAAGATTTTTTATTAAAAACAGCTGGGGGGGGGGCATTTTATCTTTTCATATTTTCCTAATTTTTTTGAATTTTAAGAATATTTTTTTCATTTTTATAGTTTAAAAGTATTTTGAACAACAATAAATCTTTTTTTTGGTGCTTCATTTTATTTTCCAATGAACAGCTTAAAGCTAAACAATTAAAATTATAAAAAAATTATTGCTTAAGTAAAAAAATATAAAATCGTTAAAAGATTAATAAACCCATCCAATAATTTCATTTAAATTGAACTCTATTTCCACTTTAAAATTTTTATTTTCTTTTCAATGTTCAATTAATATGTACATATATCTTTTCGAAATTTAGTATGTCTATGCGTTTAACTAATCAACAAACATTCTCAAAATTTCATCAATTTTTCTTCAATACAAAATTTTTAATTAATTTTTTTCTAAATTTTCCTAAAAAGGCCACATTTCTATTTTCTTAAATGTGATTTTTTGAGGTAAAATGTGAACTTATTCCTAAATCTTCTATATACTTATTCCCTAAATGAATGTGAATACAGGGAAATTTTTTAAATTACCGTATTTGCTACCCAGGGTAATTATTGTTTCAACCTCTCGCAGGAGGGGGTAATTAAATGAGAGGGGGTAATTGAGCTTTTTTCAGACAGGCTAATTATAATTTAATTGGGGTAGTTATTTTTTCGATCTCTGGCTTTAGGGGGTAATTAGTAGGGCAGGGATAATTATTTGAGAGAGGAAGATTATTTCATCACTTACGGTATGCAAGGAAGAAATGACTGACCATTTTGTACTTCAAATAAAAATGCGGATAGGGAGGCGGAGGGAATAAGTACCAATCTTCTATAGTTTAAAAAATTTATAATTACTACAAATCAATTATTTGATAAAATTTAATTTTATGATTATTTATTAAACTTTTCCCTATTTTCTTTTTCTCAATCAACTTTTATTCCAAACCATTTTTTAAACATTGCTTTAATATTTAGTATAATAAATTTTGCTTTACATTCCATCACATTTTTTCCCCTATTCTTCCCCAGCAATCAATTTATGTATACCATCTGCAACGAAGTTAGGCCATAGGCCAATCTATAATATATTTTTTTCCTTCTTAAGATGACCAAGTGTCTGTTGTGAGAAAGCGAAGAAAGGATGAATCGTTGTTTCTATCAACGTTAAAAATTCTGCTGCTTTTCTGTCTATATATTTATTTTATAACTGTTCAAACATTAAAAAAATAAATATTTTTTAACTGAATTTGATTTGTTAATAATAGCTCAAAATAGGTAACGAGAATTTTAAAAATAAGTAAAAAGCTATAGCTATTATTTTAAATCCGATCTTAACTTTTGTAATTTTATAATAATTTGAATTTATTTCTTAATTACTGACTAAAATTTAGAAATTAGTAATTATTTTTATTTAAGTTCTTTAATTTGTTTAAATTTTAAAGGTGAATATTTATGTATTTCTAATAATAAATTATTAAATATTTTTCTGAAAATATGCACTTTATATTGGTAATTATTCTTTCAATCTCTCGCTTGAGGGGTTAATTAATTAATAAAGGAGTTAATTAAAATATTCAGAATAGTATTTTGTTAAATATTTACTCGAATTATAAAAAATATAAAATAAAGGCCGAACATATCCCCGAATCCGTTTATCCAATTACTGGCTAGTACATAATTAAATTAATTTTTTCGTCTTTTACAGGCCTTAAATTGAATAAATATTTTTTGGAATTTTGCCTTAATAAATACAATAGTTAATTTAAAATTTTTCAAAACACCTGCAAACAAACATACGAAAACTAATGTTTTTGCCTTCCTTTTTATATTTAAATTTACTTTAATTAAAAAAACATTTTAGAAATTATAAAAAATTAATTTGAATTAAAAAATTTTTCTTTTGGAAATAACAATTACAAATTTATTTATTTTTATTAAAATTCTGATTTTATTATTAATATAAATTCTGTTTATTATAATCAGATAACATCTTTTCTGATTTTATATTTACTATTCTTTCATAATTGTTCTGATTTTATTAATTGTTCTTTTCTTAAGTGTTCTGATTTTATTACAAATAATTTTAATTTCTGATCTTTAATGTTCTAATTCTGTTTTTTCTTTTATTAATTACACATTTATTCTGAATTTTAATTAGGTTATTTTTTTAATTGCAACAAATGCTCGAATAATTACCCTGGGTAATTATTGTTTTGACTACTTGCTGGAGGGGGTAATTATTCGACAGGAGGTACTAAATTTGTGGTATATCCAGGGTGGCCCCTTCCAAAACACTAATATAGGGCGCAGCCACTCAAAAATAGGGCAAAAATAGGGCGAAATCGGCCAAAAATAGGGCAAAAATAGGGCGAAATCGGCCAAAAATAGGGCAAAAATTAGTGTATAGCTTCAAAAGCTTAAACATAATTAAAATTTCAAATAAGGCAAAAATTTTGAGGATTTTGAAAGGCCAAGAAGTCAGAAATCCTTCATTTTTAACATTTTTCTTGCAAAATCCGAAGAATTTTTAAAATTTTAAAAGATGGCAAAAATATGGCAAATGAGAAAATAGGGAAAATCCTCTATAAATTGGATAAAAGGGCCACCCTGGGTATATCTCAATAAATCTAGGAGGAAATTTGAGGGAGGGTAATTATTATTTTTTTCTATTTGAAAGAATTTAAATTAGTTCTGATTTTATTTTAATTATTTTTAATTAAATTTACTATTTTATTTTCATCATTTTAAACTCAATTTTTAGTATTTTTAAATAAAGACTTAAATTTAATTTTATTTATTCCCACATTTTTTTAAATTTTATTTAGATGAAAATTAAGTTATTAAGTTATTTTCTTATTTATTTAATTTCAACTTCATTTCTTCTTAACAGCTTAAATGGATTTGAAGAAGAAGGTGCTTAAATATTTTATTTGCAAATTTTTGCAAAATTTCTTTTTTTTTATTTTTTAGCAGATTTATGTACTGACAGAAGTTGTTTCCCCGCAACAGGAAATTTATTAATAGGTCGAAAACATCAACTTTCTGCCACATCTACTTGTGGTACTTTAATTTTTCAATTTAATTTTTTTAAGAAATAAAATTGGGATTAAATATAATTTTTGATACTTTTAACAAAAAAATATTTTTATTTCTACATAAGGATTAAGAAAAGAAACTCTATAATTCGCCACCCATTCTTGGCTAAAATTTGATACTCCGAAATTTAATACCTAGTTTTGTTATATTTAGGGTTGTCGGTTTCTGGAAACTCTTCGGATATCCGAAACCTAACTGAAGAAGCGAACCGAAAGATTCACGGTTCTTCGGTTCGGTTCAGAACCGAACCCTAGTCATATAATAAATTAAAAATACAAAAAATACGAGACTTGAGGATTGGATTATTTTAATAAAATTCAACTTTTATTAAGTTTCTTTTCATTAGAGTTATCCCAAAATTTCAATTAAATTTATTTAATATTTGCCGAAATATGGCAAAAAATTAGTTTACTATATTCAAATTTAACAAAACTTTAAAAGTTTTCAAAAATAAATTTCCATAGGTCTTCATAGACCTGGGCGTTACTGTATTGTCTCTCATTTGGAAAACCCTGAAAAATGTTTTAAATGTGATTCAAGGCAACCTTGGTCCTATGAACAACCTGGAAATGTAAGCCACCGAATTGAGAATGTAGTTAAAGAAAATTATGGGGACAGAACTCAAAATTGGTGGCAATCAGAGAATGGGGTTCAGGTGTTAATAAAATTATTTTTGAAAAATAATTCCAATTAAAAATTTAAAAGAATGTTTCGATTCGGTTGGATTTGGAGGCAGAATTTCACTTTACTCATTTAATTATGGTTTTTCGTTCATTCCGCCCGGCAGCTATGTTTATTGAACGATCCAAAGATTTTGGAAAAACTTGGTAGAAATAAATAGTTAAAAATTATTTTTAATTTAAAGGTCCACTTATCGTTACTTTGCTTATGATTGTGCTTCTTCTTTTCCTGAGTAAATTATTAATTTATTTAAAAAAATAAATTGAAGTTTTAGTGTAAAAGAGGGCCCACCACGTAATCACAAAGATGTAATTTGCACCAAAAAATACAGCGATGTTGCTCCTTCTACTGGAGGAGAGGTATCGAATATTAATTTGTATTGTATTAAAATTTAAAAAGTCAAATTTATTTTAATTTAAAGTATATACGGTTGAATCTGCGTTACATAGTATAGCATTACTGGGATATATTCCAAACAATATTATACACTATCTTTCGAACTGCCAAAATTTAGTTGTGAGATGGTCGTAATCCCCATGTTTGTAACCCTACTTCATATATAATTCTGTCCTAATTACAAATCTCAAACAAATTTTTCAATAAACTTAGGGAAATTTGTAATAATTTAAACTTCAAAAATCCTTCTTTGGGAGACAAGTATTATTAGCGGCATTCCTCTATATTTTAATTAAAAATATAAATTCTTTAAACTTCCATAAATTTAAATTTTAGTTAGTGTACAAAGTAGTTTCTCCACATATCCGAACAGAAGATCCTTATGCGCCTGATATTGCAGAACTTCTTAAAATTACAAATTTAAGAATTAATTTTACAAGATTACATTCTCTTGGAGATAATTTATTAGATTATAGACCTGAAATTGATGAAAAATATTGGTGAATAATCCAATTTTTGATAAAAATAATTAAATTAAAAAAGGTATGCTGTTTATGAAATAGTTGTAAGAGGATCTTGCTCCTGTTATGGACATGCTCAACGTTGTGTTCCTGTTGGAGATGAGACTATACTTACTGCAAAGTAATCAAAATAATTTTCTAGGATATTTACCTATCGTATTTCTCAAATAATTCCTCTCCCTTGAATAATTCCCCCTACCAGGGATGGGTTGAAATAATAATTCCGCATCCCCAATTACCCTACTGCACGTTCAAATGCCAAAACTCGAATAATTCCTCTCCCTCGAATAATTCCCCATCCCATGGATGGGTTGAAATATTACTTCCCCAGGAGAATTAATCGAGAAAATACGGTAGGTCTGTTAAGTATTTTGTGATTTACTCGGTCGGCTTTATTCAGAATTTTTATTTCAAAAATTATTTTAAATTTTCCATCAAATATTCTATAAATTTAAACACTTCCAACCTTTAAGATTGCCAGATATGGTGCATGGAAAATGTGAATGTACTCATAACACGAAAGGAATGAATTGTGATGACTGCGAAGACTTTTACAACGATTCCCCATGGAGACCAGGCATTGGAGACCAATCGAATGAATGTAAAAGATGTGAATGTAATGATCATGCTACTCGTTGCCATTTTGATTGGGCAGTCTATAATGCTTCTGGATTTTCTTCTGGAGGTGTTTGTGATGATTGTCAACATAACACAATGGGGAAGAATTGCGAGCAATGCAAACCTAATTTTTATCGAGATCCTCAAAGGTAGAAATTTTGAAAAACGGATAAGTTGTGATTTGATATAGGTGAATTTTAGTTAAATGTACATAATAGTGTGGAAATATAGCCAAAATAATATTAAAAGTATAATATATTTTTAGATCCATTCGAGATCCATATGTCTGCAGACCATGCCAATGTGATCGCAGTGGTTCTAAATACGATGGAATTTGTGAGACTGAAGAAGATCCCGAACGTGGACTGGTTGCAGGGAAATGTTATTGCAAAAGCAACGTTGATGGGCCAAAGTAAAGTCTAAAATAATGAGAAATTAAAAAAATTTTTTTCTTAATTATCTAAAGTTGTGATCGTTGTAAAAATGGATTTTGGGAAATGAGAAAAGAAGATCCCGATGGCTGTCGGCCATGTTCTTGCAATCTAATCGGTACTTATGGGAACGAAGGTTGTGACAAAGTGACAGGAAAGTGTACTTGTAAAGCTCTTGTAATGGGAGAACAATGTGATCATTGTCTTCAAGAACATTATGGACTAAGTGTTGATGATCCTAATGGATGCAAGCCTTGGTAGAAAAAATTTTTTAAAATTATTCCTAGATATAATTCTTGTAAAAATATAATTTTTGGATATAAAAATATTTTATAAATTCAATGATATACACTTTAAAAATATTTTTTCAAGTGATTGCGATCCTGGGGGCGCCTATGACAATCACTGCGATAGTGCTGAGGGTATGTGCCGTTGCCGGCCAAATTATAGTGGGAGACGCTGTAATACAACGGAAAGTGGATATTTCTGTCCATTTATTGATAAATATACTTTTGAAGTAATTTTTTAAAAAATATTTTTAAAAATTAAAAATTTAAAAATTAAATAGTTCTGATTTAAGAGATGCTTTT